GTATTAGATAATTTTCAGTAAGTGTGTTCAATACTTTTTCCCTGTGCCATTCCACATTATTACAAATAACTTCATTTCTGGACATTTATGGTTTGATTTCTTTGTATGTATGGATCACTTGAGTTGTTACCAACATCTGGTAAAAATTTCATGTCATTAGCACCTCTAGTAAAATATTTACTGAGAGAAATGGTGACGTGTTCAATACTTATTTTACCCGCTGTATTTGTGTGTAACATAGATAAATATCGGTTTTCAGCCATAATGCCAATAATAATATCGGATATTGATACCGGCTGAAATTTTTCTATCTATGCATCCCTAGCTCTAATGGTTGTATTTTACTACAGTATGTGCTTCTGTTTACGTATGTTTATTTTCTAAGATCTATTTTCTGTTTTTGAAACGTTTTGTTTATCTGGTCTTTCTATAAAGTTACAAATCCTTAAGTCTTCACCACAGAGAGAATCATATGATTCCATGTTTTGCTTCAGTCATGTCTGACACCAGTTTATGCCATCATGTAACCCTATATACCTTTAAGTCTGCTGTTAGTTTGGCACTTTCTAAAACAAAGATAGAAAAATATAGACAAATATAAACAAAAAAAGCTGCCTGGGATTGTCATTCCTAGCAGCTTTAAAATCTGTTGCAGAATATTTTAAAAATAGTGTCTGTGGATGGAAGAAACTCATGAGCCAGAACAGTGACTAAAATCAGACTGTGATTTCATCAGTTTATTTAGGTACTGCCACCACAGAAAGTACATTTTTATATTTAACTATATTAAGATGAGGTTGCTGTAGAAAATGTCCTGACTTTTTTTTTTTTTTGAAGAAACATCTCTGGTTGTTGTCTGTTTCAACAGACCTGCAGTGTTTGTTTACACTACAGCAGAGGATTCGACCTGACACGGCTAAATTTAGACGTGATGCGTTCTGTTTGATGGCAGACTTTAATAAAAGCTCGGCAGATCTCCAGTCACCAAGAAAGGACATTCAGAATTTCACGCAGGTCATCGCAGCCTCTGTGGTTTGTGATGTTTGGCTTCACCCTGCAGGTCACAGCAGAGGAGAGGAGGGCTGCAGTGGCGAGGTGCTGACATCTCAGCTTTATATGCCAGCCAGCTGAGAAGTCTTATGCACTTGTTCTTTTTCTCTAAATTCTGCTTTTTGTGTTTGATCAGATGTTTGTTTTTCACATTACAAGTCTGCTTTTTACCATCAGCTAAACGGAAGCTAACATCCACATCTGTACCAGGGTTATTATAGTTAACTAAAACTAACTAAATAACGAAAACTGAAATTGAAAAAAACATTTTAGTTAACTAAAATAAATAAAAACTGTAATAAAATGAAAATACGATAACTATGACTATCTTGACATGCTAGCTTCTCTCAGTAGTTCCCATGAAAAAACAAGCAACAGGTAGCACCGGGTTGGAGACAACTATTGTCGTTGGCCTAAAAAATTGCCCAAGTCCTTAGTTGGCAAAATTGAGTTACACACTTATTTTAAGAAGGGTTCGCTATAATGGACTGCTTTAGTGACTAAATACGTAGCTGTTGGTTAGTTAACTCATAGTAACATCACAAGCTTGAGGATGCACTGGCAAATATGTTTATTCTAACTAAATATAAAAAAATAATACTAGAACTAATAAAAACTAAACTAAACTAAAACTAAGCATTAAAAAGGCAATAATAACTAATAAAAACTAGCAAATCCACTGTAAAAACTAATTTAAACTGAATTAAAAGAAAATAAGTCAAAACGAAATAAAACTAAACTATAATGAAAAATTCAAAACTGTTATAACCTTGGTCTGTACCAACGTTTCATACCAGTTCTATGTTATCAAGACCCTACAAACCCAGGAGCCAGGGAGAAAGAGAAATCACACACACGACAGGCCCTGGAGCAGTGTGGTTATCCTGACTGGGCTTTCCTGAAAGCAGACAGGAAACACAGACAGGATTCCATGCAACCTTCAGGTGAAAATGAAGACCACAAACCCAGACCCAAACCAGTGGTTATTCCGTATGTTGCGGGTGTTTCGGAGAAACTGGGACGTTTATTTTCTAAACATGATGTCCCAGTGGCTTTCAAACCCCAAAACACATTACGGCAAAGGCTGGTTCACCCCAAAGATCCGGTGCCCCGGCACAAACAGAGCAATGTTGTATATGCTGTTAAGTGCCAGGAGGACTGCGACCAGTTATACATCGGGGAAACAAAGCAGCCACTGTTCAAAAGAATGTCCCAACACAGACGAGCTACATCTAATGGCCAGAACTCTGCAGTTTTCACTCATTTACAGGCCAGCGGTCACTCTTTCAGAGATGAGGATGTTCTCATTCTTGATGGAGAGGAACGATGGTTTGAGAGAGGAGTAAAAGAAGCCATTTTTGTGAAGAAAGACCGTCCATCATTAAACAGAGGTGGAGGCCTCCGTTTTCAGTTGTCCCCCTCCTACAGCGTGGCTATTGCCAGTATCACTCCACCCCCTGTTAACAATAAGTGTTAATTAGGTGTCAACGATAGCCATGTGATGTGAGTATCAGTCGCATCAAAAAGCCTGAATTTTGCCTGAAACTCTCAGACTGAAGAAGTCTCTTGGAGGAGAGACGAAACGTTTCGTTGGAGAAGAACCCGTCCAGAAGACCTACACAATATTTTTTCCTTTTTTTTTATGTTATCAAGACATTTCATTTAATGTATCAAGTGGAAACCTTTCCATACTTCTTAAGAAAAACTGTCAAAATTGTCAGGTTTCATTGTCTTGGTCCATTGCAGGTTTTGTTCCAGTCAATTTAGATTTTGTTGAAATTGCATACAAGTCCAACAACAGTTCAAATAAAAAGTAGTCTTAGGTTTTTTGGACTGTTTTAAATTGAATCGACCCAGAATATCTCTCTTTTTAAAATGATAAAACTTTGTGGAATGTGTTCTACCCTCCTCTGCGATGTTGTTCATTTATGACAGCTGATGATGTATTTTAGTCCAGCATTTATACACACAGGGCACATGGTGCCAGAATATTCCAGCAAGGATTGCACACATTTCATACATTACTGGTAAAATAGCAGCTGCTGAAGACTTTAGAAAAAAGTGATGCCTACTAAGACGGAAGGAAAAATGTGTCAGTTGGATAAAAGCAGTGTGTGATTGGGTTTGACGTGGTCTCTGTATGTTTTAAATCTCACTTGTCATTCAAAAAACATTCCATCTGGTGTACAGTATAAGCACTTCAGAGTTCATAAAAATATAAGCGTTGGCTCATCTACCACACTGGCCAGACTTTTAAACAAGATGTTTCGTCTCTCAGCTCAGTCACTGTAAACACACCTCCCTAATTATAATTACTAGTATAATATTTAGAGGAAAGCCAACGCTGACTACGAAAAAAGAAAAATGAGTGTCGGAATTTGCTAATCCAGGAAAATTATGGTCTTCGTTTCGATAATCTCTGCTGAAATAGCAGGATTTGACTGTATAAACATATTAATTTAATATTTTTGTCACACTATGATGGAGTATATTGTAAACTCCCTTAAGATATAATGGCATTAGATTTTTAACCCATCAACAAAGCTTATCCGGCTGTAACTGATGGTATTTCTGTTGAACTGCTGGGACGTTGTTAAAAACCAGAACATGTTGGTCTTTGTATTAGGTGCCAATTAAATGTTATGTCATAAGCCAGCTGTATTTTTCTGCCTGAATTATTGTTGTAGGGTTGAAACTGCCTCCCCTGAGGATTCCTACGAAGGATTACACAGCTTTGTGGTTACTTTTGTAACTTCAGCTAAATAATGGTTAGAAATAAATACTCACTTCATGCTGGTCAGTTTTGTTATAAACCTCTTTTTCTTTCCTGTACTTTTCAACATATTCTAGACAAACTGCTGAAATAAACCCATGCTTAGTATTTAGTTTTATTGTTTGAGCTGGTCTTTTTGCTGTCAGTAGTGTTTGCTGGTAAAAGTGGTGTTGATGTCACTAAAGCTCACCATGTGCTCTCTGTGTCCTCAGTACTCTCTGACGGAGGCCCAGCTCTGAGGTGGAGGAGGCTGTAAAGAGGCCCCCAGGGAGCCTCCCACCCTCCCTACCTGACCAGCGATACACATCGGACAACCATGGCTCCCAGGAAGCGTGGGGGAGGCAGCGGCCGCGGTGGTCTCTCCTTCATGTTCTGCTGTTTTAACAGCAACGATCACCCCGAGATCACCTACAGGCTGCGGGAGGACTTCGCCCTGCAGAGCATGGAGCCATCGCTGCCGATGCCAGGGTACGATGAGTTGGACAACATGTTCTCTGAGCTGGTGGTAAGATCTTTTTTCTTTTTATTTCTCTTTGCTATGCTTGTTTGTTTAAGAACAACTACACGTTGAACTTTGTGCAACACTTCAACTTTTCCCAATATTTTAACAAGCAAAGCGGACAATAAAAGACAAAACATATAATTTGTGTGGGTGCATTTTTCTGTTTGGGACACATAGTAGTTGATGGGAGAATAAAAACAGGCAAATTAAAACAAAAGCTTGCAGAGTACACAAAAAATTGAGTTGTTACATTTCAGGAAAAAAAATATTTCTCAGATCAATAAATCCTTTGTAAACACATTCTGAAGTGTTGTCTGTGTTTAGGTAAACGTTTTAGCTTATTCAGCTCTGCTGCAGATCTCCATCATTATCTGAAGATAAAGGCCCTGTCACACTATAACATTTTAGACAACTTCTGAAAATTTTGTCCAGCACTAAAGATGCCTAAAAAAATAAATAAACTGGAAGCTTGTTTTGGACGTGTACATACTGTAATGCTAACGAGTTGAACCTAGAATGACCGAGTATGACCTATAGGAGTAATTTATTTACAACAGAGTTTTCATATGATGGCGTAAGTTGTCTAAAACGTTACAGTAAACACATATTTGTGCTGGGTGACAGAAGTTAGAAGTGATATTAATTCTTGATCTTGTTCCCTTTTCAAACATGAATCGCACAGTACAGCTTTTTGTGTTACATTATAGTAAAAGATCTTTAAAAAGGGGGTATTATTTATTTTCGTAGTTTAATTCTAAACCTCGATCAAGTTACTGTGTTACCGTCAGTTGTTCTGGAAAAAAATGCATCGAAAATAAATTTGCCTTTGCATCATGGTTCATCTAAACGCCTTGAAATTGACCTCGGCCTCTTTAAGAACCTCCTACCGTTTCCTACACTCCCACTTCAGCACATCTTTACAACAGTGTTTCTGGGTGGTGGAGGGATTCAGCGTCAGACTGAGCTCCAGGGAGGAGCTGTGTACCAGCGAGCGTTTAGGCATTTCCACATGGCTACAGGAGATTCAAGGATTTCTCAAACATGCATAAATATGTCAAAGCAACACTTTTTTCACTTTTTTTTTGATGAACTAATGTCATTATAACATGATTATAAATCTCAAAAATGTGAATTTTGCATAACACCCCTCCTTTAAACTAATTTACAAGACCATTTGAATTGTATTCTTACCTCACTGTTTACTCTGTTTCAGTTGATGACGAACTGTGATTTTTTCCCCCAGTTTACAGTCACATTATCTTCTGAGGAACCGAGGCAGCCTGCTTTCCTTTCTGTTTTATTGTCACTTCTAATTTGTCGAGTCCAACTCTCTCTTCTGGCTCTGTTTCCTCTCTTGTGGTTGCCAGAGTAATGTGAGCATCAAATTTTACCCATCACTAGGCCTCATTCAGAATCTCTGTATGTCTCAGTTTCCTCTATTTGGTAATTGCTTGTTTTAGTCCGCCATTCTTTATGAAGACATCATTAACTAAGTTTATTATGAACACAAGGAGGCTTTCTGTTACTCTGTTTGCTAAAATGGAGTGACCATGTGCTTCTCTTTTCACTCTGTGCACATAGATGATAGTGACAATCTAAATGGGTTTGTTGGAAGCAAATAAAAGCTTAAATGGTTTTAACTCAACCACATTAATGGTAATGTGAACAATCAACAAGATATGCACTTAAAATGAAATTATCTTATTTATTAAGATCAACTAAATTGTCTTCACTTATTAAAAATAATTTAGAAAACGATTCGTGGCCGATTTAGCTGAGTTTAACTGCACAATAATGTTAAAGACTCAGTTTTCTCCGATCATCTACAGCTCTTGTTGATGCGTCTCAGTTTCCCCAAATTGGCTGTGGTCTTCAATCCAACACTTCCCGGCTGTGGCCCTTTATGTGCTGTGACACATGTTGTTTCCAGATGTTTTGTTACCACATGTTGAGCACACAAAGCACGCCTTATCTTTTCCATATTACTCACACAAAACCTGGAAGCGATCTGATTTCATTCACAATCGCACCGAATGGAGAACGAAACCGGTCGATTTTCATCACAAACCGATCGGCAGCTGAAATCTGAGCTCTGTGAAAGCCTTTGTTAGCATTTGTGTTTATTTAGAGGGAAACAAAATGGATTTTATGTGGTTGTTTCTATATTTGCACCATGTTTATATGATTTGATAACCTCTGCAGCCCTTAAACAAATTACACTCTACAGTGAGGCTCGATAATCAAGCACTAATAGTCAGCATCTGCATGCAGTTCTCTGTGAGGATTTTTAAAGCCTCCGCACCAACACCTCTTAACTACTTGCCTTTTTTCTCTCTCTCTCTCTCCCGTTTGGCAGGATGAGCTTGACCTTACAGAGAAACACAGAGAAGCCATGTTTGCTCTGCCTGCAGAGAAGAAATGGCAAATCTACTGCAGCAAGAAAAAGGTAAAAGATTCACATCTTTGTGTCAGCTTCCCACTACACCCCTATCAGTCTGTGAACTCTCTGTGCTGACAGACTGGATCTCCTGGATCATATCTGCAGATATCGATTTGTGTTGAGCATTTCCTCCCTCTTTTATTTATGGTTCCTGGAGCTTTACTTTGTACAGCAAAAAGCATTTTTATCTGAATTTCTCTGCTCACAGTAGTCAGTCTATAAAAAAAGATATGCTTATTTTGTTGTTTTTGTACTAAAATGACTATTTAACCTATTTTTAAGTTTTACCTATTATTGTATATAGTTGTTAAATTTGGCATTGAAACCAAATGTGAATGTAAAAAACACTTGCAGGTCACCCAAAGAGATTGTAGAACACAACAAATGTCTTTCTAAAAGGTAATTTTTGGCATCCTGTCACACTCCTGTTGTGACTTCTTCTGTTACAAGAGAAAAAAAAGTGAGTTACAGAGTTTCTTACTAAAAAACTCTGCATGAGTTTAAGTATTGTGCTGTTCAAGCACAAATTAAGTATTAAAAGAACAGTTTGACATTTTGTCCTAAGATGTTTATTGAAATGAAATACTGACGTGAAGACTTGACATCATTCATGTCTGTGTGTAATTACATTTGCCAAAAAAAAAAAAGTTGGGATCCTAAGTAAAGCCATTTTTCTTTCTGTAAGACAATGCCAAACCACATTCTTTTTATGTATTGCAACAACGTTGTTGTGTAGTGAGGACACATCATGCACTGGAAATGAAGGCGTTTTGCGAAACATTTATTTATAACTAAATAAATCCCAAACTGTTAAGCAGCTGAAATTTCATAACAAGAAAGAATCAGAAAACCTTGAGCTTTCCAAATCACAGCGGTGCGCTTCAGTTCCCACAAGCTTAGCGTACTAAATCTAAATCACTAAAATTGTTTTGCTGCTAACAAAGTTGATCGGTTTGATCAGTTTCAGTATTTCATATTTTTGTTTTTATATGGAGCAAGACTAAAGCCAAATCTTTCATGTTTTATAAGTTACTCATAAAGCAAGAATTCCCATGAAATAAAAATCATTGTAAAGGTTGTATATTGTCTCTAGTAAGACCAAAGTTTGAACTTTCTCTCCCTCTAGAAGATTCTGGCTTCATCTTTAGGACTACTTACCTGGAACATAAAAGAAAAGCTCTTTAAATTGAGTTCAAACAAAGTTTTCCTTTAAATAAAAAAAAAAAAAACTCATTTCAGTTATTACACCTGTCCTTTCAAAGGGTTCATGCAGTCCTAACATCCGCTGCTGCTCTATAAGAGTCATGTTTCATTAAGCCCTTCCTTCCTGGTTAAAGGCAGCTCAGCTGTTCCTGCTTTCTCTCTGTATGAATTCACCCTCCGCGTGCAGGAAAACACCAACGCCTGTTCTAGTTTAGATCAATGCTGGTCGCTGAATGTGGCCTCACTTTTATTCAGCAGTGTGCTCGAAAGTCTTAGGATATCCTGTCCGGACCAATACGCAGACCGGGCAAGCAGATTTACTCCTCTTTTCCTACATCTGGTACCAAATTGCAGACTGAGGAGTATATATAGTATATTTATAGTATAAATCCTCAGAAATGAGTCCTACAGAAAGATGTATAGATCTGCTCAGGAATGCAGACAGTTTTAATAGTCTGTTTGGCACAACTTCAGTGTCAGACNTTCCAGGCACATAGTTCAGTTCTATACCACGATCAAGTAACTGTTACCTTCAGTTGTTAACAATGACAATGCTGTTTAAATCAAAAATAAATTTTGACTTCATATGGTTAAAGCCTTGAAATTGGCCTCTGTCTCTTTAAGAACCTCCTGCTGTTTCTGACACTCCCACTTCAGCACATCTTCACAACTAAGCTTCAGGCCATTTACAACCTTTTGTAGGAGCATTGTTTGTTGTTGTCAGTGGCGGGCACAGTTCCCCTAAAGCACAAATAGTTAATAATAATTTCCTGATTAGTGCTTTAGGGCTTTTTCTCATTTTAAATTGTATTAGTGGATTAGCACTTGCTAAATTTATAGACTAAATTTAGAAGCACTATTTGAGGTCTATAAATGTTATTGGTCAATGTTAATGTTAACAGCTGACAGTGAAAGCTGTCACACATTTTGTTCATATGTGTCACTTATCCACTATGTGACAACATATTGACTATATATGAACCCAAATACAGCTGTGGAATGTTAATGATAAGAATTAAGAGAGCAACATTTGACTCATGTTGTCTGTTGAAAAATGTTCATGGGTTGACTGGGTTATTTTAGTGCTTTAGAATTAGCCTTTGCTAAAACTTTCAGTGCATTAGTGCTTTAGAATTAGCCTTTGCTAAAACTTTCAGTGCATTAGTGCTTTAGAATTAGCCTTTGCTAAAACTTTCAGTGCATTAGTACTTTAGAATTAGGGGACCTAAATATTTGAGTTAGTGTTTTAGGGCTAGTGGAACTAAATTTTAGATTAGTGCTGCCCACCACTGGCTTTTGTTAATAAAAGAAGCAACATTTTCAAATACCAGTTTTGGAAAATTGCAACTCAGGTTACAAATGAACCTTAATCGAATGATCCCACATCAGACCTGGAGAAATTTTTTTTCCACAGAGGCAAGATGTTTCAGCTTGGTAATATATTTCCCAGTCATCCTCTCAAACAAATACGCCAATGTTACTTTTTGCAAAGATCATTATGAAGCCATGTTTTGCAATGAAATCAGGATAATGTTTTTAAGCTGTTTTGCTAGTCTAGTGGAGTTGTGTGGGGGAGGCGGCTGCAGACTGAGCTCCAGGGAGGAGCTTTGTACCGGTAAGCGGTTAGGCATTTCCACAAGGATACCACAGGAGATTGATGGATTTCTCAAACATGCATGAATGAGTCAAAGCAACACTCTGGGTATGTTTTTTAGTGAGGGAATGATAAAACAATTTTGCATAATACAACCCCCCACCCCCTTTAAAAAACAAAAGAAAGTTTTGGCTCATTTTGTAACCAAACTCAGAAGCAGAAATATCTCACAGCAATAAAACCAAAAATATATATATTTAAAATAGTTTTAACAGCCAGTAATGTGTATTTATGTTGACAGATAATCTCTATAGTAACTTTATGATACTGCAGAAGGAAAATTTGATAAAGAGCCAAAGAAGTTACATCACAAGTGTGTGTTTGTCTCTGTTTTACCTTTTGGATGAACTTTTTTCTTTTTCTTTTTTTTACACTAGACTACATTCATCATCCTGTTCAACAAAGTTAAAGTATTATAAAAGTAATCAAACTAAAACATTTCTCCATTCCATTTATCCTGCTCTTCCTCTGTAAGAAAGTCAAACGTGTCTGTTTTAGTTCAGACTGTACGGGGATTGTTTAGCTGTTAAAGTGGAGGGGGATTTAGATGAGTCTTAGCTTTAAGTGCAGCACCGACCTGCCAAGAAGGGAGGAGGGAGAAATGACAGAACAGTATTGCTGACTCTGCATCAAGCTCTGGCTGTAACCCAAACAGATACAACTCACTATCTGAGCTCGGAGAGGAAGCTCAGTGTGTGTGTGTGTGTGTGTGTGTGTGTGTGTGTGTGTGTGTGTGTGTGTGTGTGNGCAAAGGAAGCACTAGTTGTCCAAAGCAAACAGGAAGGCTTCGCTTCCACAGGTGCAGCTTTTTTATGATAGAGGTGGGTTGTAGGGGCGATGGGGGAAACTTCTGACACTCACTCAAAGCCCACAACCCATGAGGGTGCTCCTTTCTCACCATTAATTCCTTGGCTTTAAAGGCGAGCCTGGATTTGGAGGAGATGAGTGCATCAAAGCTGTAGCTGTTTGGTTTGGCCCGACACCTGAGCTGATGAACTCATTCTGCAGAGAATCAGTTTCCCTCCTGCCTTTTGTCAGCACTCCTCAAGGCTACGTCATCCGCCAAGAGGGAGATTCACTAATCCGAATGTTAGACATTTTTGTACTTGGGTTTAAAATTTTGTTTAAACAAAACAAAGCGTAAGTCCAGTAAAGACCAAAGTGTAAATTCTATTTCAAGCAGATTGTCCGACTAAAAACAAACGGATTCTGTTTCCCTGAGCGTCTCAGATCTTTGTTTTTCTAAAGGTCGAAACAGAAAAACTCCCCTCTGTATGACCTCCCAGCTCTCCTGTCATCTCTACCCTAAATAAATCGTCGTAAAGGTGAGGACTGCTGACATCTGAAGCATAAGATCACTAAAAAGGAAAGCGGTCCCACCTCCGCGTCTGCTCCTCTAATAGACTGGACTTTTTCCAGCACCTCCACCAGGTCAAGCTGGCACTGGTTCTGAATGGAACAGCAGGACCGTCCATGCAGATCAGCCAAGTCTCCACAGTCCGCCTCAATGTGTGTCGCTCAATTAGTCCTGACGCTCGAAATTCGCTTGTGCCTAATGAAGCAAGAGTCAAGAGACATTTCATGAACCAGCCAAGTTCTTGTAACGCAAACATGCCTGTGAGGAGATTAATCTCACCATAAGTCAGGCTGTGACCTCAATCCACAGTTTCAACAATCATTTGGTAATATCTAGATTTTCTCAAGCAGCTGTGCGCTCTTTTTTTGGCACTTTTACCACCTACTGAAGCTCTGGAAGATAAAATAGGTTGAATATCTGTGTCGCCCTAGTTTGAGGTCTCGCTCCATTTGAAGCTATTTCTGTCATTTCTCTCGGTAGTCTTTTTTTTCTTTTTTTGCTGGTGTTTTTTTTTAAAGCGTATTGATATGACTGTTGATGGAAAGTAGGAGGAAAGAGGAAGAAGCTCTTCTGCTTTAAAGAACTCAAACAAGTGACACAAACCAGATAATATTTGATGATTTTGTGCCTTTTCAACTACTTTATTGTGTTACATTAATTTAAATCAAACCCTGAATATGACTGATTTACTTTTCATGGCGATTTCTAATCAGTCACTAACTGTGTAAATGCTTAAAGTGCTAGTGACATCAAATTTTTGTGATAAAGATGAAGGCATTTTTGGGAAGATAACATCGATAACATACTGCAAAACAAATTTCACATCACTGAGATGAACAGTTGTTGAGATATTTGCATGTGGAGAAACAGGAAGTGATGTCAAAGGGGAATGTTGGCATGTAAACAGAGTGTTGTAACAAAAGCTAACAGCACAGACTGTAGAGAAGAATATGATGTTTCTTTGGATTATTTTTAAGAGAGACAAAGAAAAGTTCAAGTTTAAATAATTTTGTTTTAATAAACAGAGACCAGCGAGTTTATTTTATTAATGAGTTCTGCTTTGATGTCACTTCCTGTTTCACTTTGACTGAGACAAATTTAAAAGAAAATATGCCAGTTATGTGACAAAATGGGTAAAATAATGTGCACTATGCCAATTTTATTAAGTATAAAGATGTTTTCTTTGACTTTTTATATTTGAAGGATAGGTGTGTCACAGGCACTTTAAATTCACACTATTGAGATGATCCATTTTTCTTACGTATGTTTTTTGGCACACATGTTGTTCCACAATGTTTGTGCGACTTCAACAATTCATGTATCAAAACTTGCAGATCCTTCGGTACATTCTGGCTCTGACTTTTAGTATTTCAGCATTTTATACTGTTTGATATACAAACATTCACGCAAATTCTCTAGTTTATTTTACATTATATCTCTTGTTTTTCAGGAACAAGAGGAAAACAAAAGTGCAACTAGTTGGCCAGAATATTACATCGATCAGCTCAATTTGATGGCAGCTGTAAGTAACTGCACGAACCTAATTTATTTTCTTATTGGCTACAAAATGGTCCTTGATGATATGATGTGACACTGAACAGAGGAAGAGTCTTCTCGCTCTGGAGAAAGAAGACGAGGAGGAGAGAAACAAAACTATAGAGAGCTTGAAGACGGCCCTGAGGACTCAGCCAATGAGGTGAGGCGAATTCTTTAAACGTATCAATCTGTCAGTCTTCATTTGATCCTTTTATTTCTCTTGTCAGCTTCATTATATCTCCTTTCTTAACCTCCTCTCACCTCGTCTGTGTTTGGCTCCTCGCAACAGGAAGAAAATAAATCCTTTATAAGTAAACATGCATAAAGGTCACTGCTGTGATGGTTAAAGATTTTTATAGAAATGAGTTAAAGGAGAACTTTTATCACTCCTACTAATGAAAAACAAATTCAATAGTTTAAAGAGGAATTACTGCTGTAGACAAACACTAGCTTTTATAACCTCTATATTCTTATTTATTTGCAGGTTTGTAACTCGCTTTATAGACCTGGATGGCCTGACATGTATCCTGAACTTCCTGAAGAGTATGGACTACGACACCACAGAGTCCCAGATCCACACGTCTCTGATCGGCTGCATCAAAGCGCTGATGAACAACTCGCAGGGCCGCGCCCACGTCCTGGCTCACTCAGAGAGCATCAACACCATCGCTCAGAGCCTGGCAACAGAGAACATTAAGACTAAGGTGGCGGTGTTAGAAATAATGGGTGCTGTGTGTCTGGTGCCTGGCGGGCACAAAAAGGTCCTGCAGGCCATGCTGCACTATCAGCGTTTCGCCTGTGAGAGAACACGTTTCCAGGTGGGTGATAGGAAGTGCCATACAACAATATACAATAACAGTACTGTGCAATATGATACACCTACGATGGGTTTCTCATTCCTCAGACACTAATAAACGATCTGGACCGGAGTACGGGACGATACAGAGATGAGGTCAGCCTGAAAACAGCCATCATGTCTTTTATTAATGCTGTGCTGAGTCAAGGAGCCGGAGAGGTAAACTACATGTTATTACACCTTCCTTTATACTAGGACACTGTCAGTTACATGAGTCTGCCACAGCATTTTAATATTTTCATACTGCTATTTTTTAAATTAGACTAGTCTGGAGTTCCGTATCCACCTCCGGTATGAGTTCCTCATGCTGGGGATCCAACCTGTGATCGATAAGCTACGTTCACATGAAAACTCTACGTTAGACAGGTAAGATGTTCTCTGCAAATAAGCTTTTAATTGGAAGAACTCGCCTGAGTTTTTTTTTCTTTTTTTTTTAACTGGAAGTGTAAAAAAATATATAATGAATGGCACCCAAATATAGCAGCAAGTTAAAGTTTCATATTAAAACAGGAAGAAAATAGTTTTGTCCTTACCAAAGAATTAAAGCACACTTCTAAATTCTTTCCCAGCCATTAAACTGTGTTTTTAGGTGGTGGGGTAAAAAGTTATCCAAAAAAGAAAAAGAGCTAAACAGGAAGTAAATTTCTCCGGTCTTTCTAAGATGAAAGACAAAAACATATTTGTATTTTTTTAAACGGTCTGTTAATTTGGCCTACATACAACATGATGCTGCTCGAGTGAAAGTTTCATCCTGAATAAGTTTCTTGTGCAAAGTTAACAATAAACAACTTTATTTTTATCCTGAAAGCATTTCTGAATACTGTAAGTTGTTAAACCACTACCTTTTTATCTTAAAGGGCCAATATTATGTGTTTCTCAGGCATATATTTAAACACTATACCATAATAAAGTATCTATGTCACCTTTAGCTGTTATTAAAATGCTGTTTTTATGTTTAAATAGAAAATAAACTTATCTTCTCATCAATTCCTCTTCTAAATGCCTTGAAATTGGCCTCTGTCTCTTTAAGAACCACCTTCTGCTTCTGTCCCACCCATTTCAATTCAATTTAATAACCGCGCACGCACTCTGATGCAGTTTACTTGGGATCTGAAAATACATTTCCTCAAAGGTATTTTGAATCTGAAAAGAGCTTCACTGAGTGAGCAGGAGTGTTAAGAGATCAGCAGACAGTTTCAGTTTCACGATCAGTTTCACCAGTTTTTTGCTTTGTTACTGCCGAGAGCCTGGAGGAGTCATGGGTGGGATGGGTGGGGTGTGTGGGGAGGGGAGGGGCGCTCCGCCATGAGGAAGCTCGGCTTAAAGACACATCCCAGAGGCGTTTCTGGTCCCCACCTGTCGTTTTGCTCCTCAGCATGTCTTCCTAAAAACGCTGCAGGATTTCTCAAACATGGATGAATGAGTCAAAGCAAGGCTTTGGGCATGTTTTTATGAGAGTGTAACATTATAACATGATATAAAACTCAAAGTTGATTTTACATGATATTGCCCCTTTAATGAGCTTTGACATCTTTTTTTGATATCCCTACTTTTAAATGAAATTATAAGCATTAGATTAGAAGACTTTAGTTGCAAAGCGTCCCTCTGACTCAGTCATGTTTTGTCACCTTCTTAGGCATTTAGACTACTTTGAGATGCTGCGGAACGAGGATGAGCTGGCTTTGTCCAAACGATATGAGTCGGTAAGAAGGAGAACGACCTTCCTGCAATCACAAGTTTAGCCGCTGCTGATTAAACCTGCTGTTATTGTTTGTTCTGTTAAGGTACACATAGACACCAAAAGTGCCACACAGGTCTTCGACCTCATTCGCAAGAAGATGAACCACACCGACGCATACCCGCACTTTATGTCTGTGCTGCATCACTGTCTGCTCATGCCACGTGAGTTTCTGTTCAACTTGATACGAAGAAATGTTTTTTTTATCTTTTATTTCCAGTAAAATGTGATTAAAAGATTGTTAAATATAATGAGGCAGCCCAAAAAACAACGTTTTTACTCCCACAAGAAACGGTATTTAATTTTGTGCCAGCAAGATAAGAATGTTGACTTAATCCAGATTAGGTGGTCCAGAAAATAGACACATTCCCAACCAAACCTTACGTTTACAATTTTAGAATTAACATTTAAGTGTTTTAAGTAATGAAGTAAATGAGTTTGATTTTTCTAAATCAAGAGTAAGAACGGTAAAAAACCACTAAACAGATGCTCAAGATTTAAGTGAGTAAAGTTTATTTATATAGCACCTTTTATAGATATAAAATCACAAAGTGCTTCAAAATAAAAGCATGACAAATTTTAAGTAAAGTAAGTAAAAACAGGGTAGAATACACATAAACAACTTGGCTAAAAACCAGTTTGTAAAAGAAAGTTGCAATGTTTTTTAAAAAGCATCAATAGAATAAAGGCTTGTGTTTTGTAACCACTGTGAAACAATCTTTTACAAGTAATTTATCAGGTTTTAGGAAGACGTCACTGAAGCAGTACAAAAAGAAACCCAAATATAAAACCTGTACCTACTGTGTTTGTTTGTAGACAAGAGAAGTGGCAACACGGTACAGTACTGGCTGCTGCTGGACCGCATCGTCCAGCAGATGGTCCTGCAGAACGATAAAGGTCACGACCCGGACGCCGCACCGCTGGAGAACTTCAACGTGAAGAATGTCGTCAGGATGTGAGTGCTCCGATATCCAATGAACACGCAGACACGCCAATGAGGACATGGAAGAAATTACATGACTCTGCGAGAGAGGAATGTGCAGCAGTGTTACACTGTTGGCTCCAAATGGCTCCTCTTTGGAGTTCATAAATAAAAACAACTGGTTCGTAAACGGGCTGTGATTAATCGTGTGTCACTCTCTCTGCAGGCTGGTCAACGAAAACGAGGTCAAACAGTGGAAAGAACAGGCAGAGAAAATGAGGAAAGGTGTGGATGATGAGCGTTTACTCATTCAAAAGATGAAAGAATTATCATTTTAAAGATAACTGGATATCATGTATGTTCGGTTGTGTTTTCCCATCGCAGAGCACCATGAACTTCAGCAGAAGTTTGAGAAGAAGGAGCGTGAATGTGACGCCAAGACGCAGGAGAAAGAGGATATGATGCAGACCCTCAACAAGATGAAAGAGAAGCTGGAAAAGGAAACAAACGAGCACAAAAACGTCAAGCAGCAAGTGGCTGAACTCACGGCGCGACTGCATGAACTCAGCACCGTAAGTTCTTTCACCAGCCATCTAACCGTACATTAAAACTGTCCTGTTGCTGTTATATTTTATTTTTGTAGCTACCTGCTGTTTTAGGATGTAAAGTAAAGAATCTTGTTGTGTGTGCGTGTCGAGTGTCGTGAATGAAACTTGAGAAACTTGGCCCCATCCTAAACCTCCTGTCTGTGAACTCTCCCCGCAGCGGCAGGCAGCAGCTGTTGTTCCCGGCGGTCCTCCCCTCGCCCCCGGCCCCCCCGGCGGCCCGATCTCGCTTCCACCCGTGCCGGGATTTGGAGGCACGAGCCCTCCGCCTCCTCCCGGCGGTACGATGCCCCCTCCGCCTCCCCCGCCCCCGCCGCCAGGCGGCCCCCCACCTCCTCTGGGACGCCCACCTGTCGGAGGCATCCCTCCACCGCCGGGGGCTCCTCTGGGACCATCTCTGAAAAAGAAGAACATTCCTCAGCCATCCAACGCACTCAAGTCCTTCAACTGGTCCAAGTTAGCTGAAGTGAGAACTGTCCACGTTTCGAAGCATTCAGGTGTTCCTGCTTCTATAAATGTCTAAAGTGTTTAAATCTCTCTGTCACAGAACAAACTCGAGGGCACCGTTTGGATGGATGTGGACGATACCAGAGTTTTTAAAGTCCTGGACCTGGTGGACATTGAAAGGACTTTCTCAGCTTATCAGAGACAGCAGGTAAGGAGGATTGTTCTGTTCATTTGTCACTCAACAGATGATGTCATCTGTAGTCACAGTGATTGGCTCAGAGCCTGCTTTTCTATTTCTAAAATGCTTTTGAATTATGTTAAAGTCAAAAATTTTTACATTAGCTGTGCTACTTGGATGCTTGAACTGTTCTTGTTTATTTGAATTAAAGGCTGTTATGTTTTTGATTATTTATCGACATGATTTGAAAATGCATGAGTTAACTGCAATCAGCTATTTTCTCATCATAGTTCCTAAATATCTTTCTCAAGCATAAATCAAGACACATTCAATACATACTATCTATCATGTTAGAAAAAAAGGCTGAGAATTATTCTTTTGTTTGTACGCCTGTCACAATAACGAGTTTAACTGGACGATAAATTGTCTGCGATAAGCGATAATATCGTTTGAGACTATTTTAAACTAATATAATGATGCCACACGCACTTCTGCTTGTGGAAGTTTACAATTATGGACTGACCTGGACCGGAGATTGAGAAAACAACCCAACTGCTGAGGCTATAAAATCACTGCCCACTTCTATCCAAGCGGTTATTTATTCTGTTCTCTGGTTTCATGAAATCACTGCAAACATCCTCCAATGCTTTCAAAGTTTACAAAATTTACATAGTGTAGAAAAGATAAAAAAAACTCTCAGCAAACTCTAGGTTAATACCCGACAGAGTTTACGCCTCCCCACGCTAAGGAGTAGAAAAAAGGGTGATGAAGAAAACAAGCTGATAAATAAAAAAGATCTACCTCCTTTTAATTTATGGTGTGATTAATTGATTTATTTATCGTGACAGGCCTATTGTTTGCATGTTTTAAAAAGTGATTCACAGCCTCGATGCAACTCAGAGATCCATAACAGATGTTTTGTACACAGCATGTGACAACAAGCACATATTGATTAACTGAGCACCTGATCTGTTTGACTGCTGCTCACTTCACTGATTCATAATGACTGAATGAGCTTCGATTCATTTGTCCTTATGGGCTGCAATCACATAACTGCTTTACTTATTCTAACGAATGCTTCCATCTTCCCTGCTTCTCGCTGCATTTTAGGACTTCTTAATGATCAGTAACAGCAAACAGGTGAGTGAAATTAGTGTGGTAAAATATGAAGTGTCCTCTGGTGTTAAAACTGTTTTTATGTTTTACTGTCCCTTTTCTTGTTTCCAACATCATGTAGTGTTTAAGATGTGGGTTTTTGTGACGACTTCCTACTCTACTTCCTTCCAATTATGTTTGTCATATTTGTCTGTTCTTGTGACTTAGGCTGTGTCCACACTGCAGGCAAAGGTGACCAAAATCTGATTTTTTTTTACCTGGCAATCTGAACGTGACCAGTCCGATTTTTATTTTTAATTTATTTATTTTTTTAATCTGACCCAGCTTTTTCAGAATGAAATACTGAATTTTAGCTACAGAACAGTTCAGTTGCTTTGTCTTTTTTCTTTTAATTTTCCATGTCCTGGATGACTGAGAATCCACAGAAACCTATGAAAGTAACATCGCTCTCATGCCGTATCGATACTAAAGTTCCCGGATCAATACTTTACTTCCTGCAAATCAATATACAGTTGTCATTTTAGATAATTATTAATTGCACAGCAACTACTGAATCAACATGCTAACATGTAGCATCCATAGGCTACTTCTGTAAACAGCGAGCTAAACGTGACGCCACATCTTCTGTGCGTGTCTGTTGCATCAGGTGGAGAGTTCCCACTGGAGTCTGATGGAGGACGCGTTTAAAATATAACGTGAACGACCAGGCAGAAAATCAGATTTGAGCATTACGACCTGCAGTGTGAACGTAGCCTTATTTAACTGTGTTACCTGAATAAAAAAATGCTCTGATATAAAAGTATGATTCATCCTAACAGAAAGAGGCAGAAGACGACACATTAAACTCCAGAAAAGTCAAGGAGCTGTCGGTCATCGACGGTCGTCGAGCTCAAAACTGCAACATCCTCCTGTCTCGGTACTTTCAACAACTGACTCAGCACAACACGTGATGAGTTTTGTTTTATCTTACGCATTTGTTGCAAACTGCAGATTGAAGCTTTCCAATGAGGAGATGAAGCGAGCCATTCTAACAATGGACGAGCATGAGGACCTTCCTAAAGACATGCTGGAGCAGGTACAGCATGTGAACACAACTGGATTTAACTGACTTGTGCTGCAGTCTGTGAAGTTAAAAAAAAAGGCAAACTAAATGTATAAAGAGCCTCTTTTTGCTCCTTCAGCTGCTGAAGTTCGTTCCAGAGAAGAGCGACGTGGATCTCCTGGAGGAGCACAAACACGAGCTGGACCGAATGGCCAAACCCGACCGCTTCCTTTACGAGATGAGCAGGTAATTTCCTCGTCTGAATCCTGCGTCAGGTTCATTCTGTGCCGTCGGCTTCAGGTCGAGCGCAGCTCAGACGTGCTGACAAACAATAGCCTTTGTTTCAGCGCGAGCAGATAAACGCGGTGACACATGGGTTTCTACTTAGCGGGGAACAATAGCCGTTTGTTGGAATCACGATTTCTAAATTAGGCTGGTGAATAAAATAGAAGCAATAACGAAATAAGAGAATATGCTTCAGTTTTGTAAATTGAGTTTTAGATAAAAGAAATAAAGCAAACATTTTACAAAAACACTAATATCCAACATAAGAGAGCTGACATTGCTGCAGTAAAATTATTAAAGAAATGTACAGTTTTTAGGAAACATAATGTGGTACATTCTTTCTTAGTGGACTGGAGGACAGATGTCAGGTTGGTATTCATGGACCTCAAAGTCTGGTTTTAGGTTTCTTACAATCTTTTTGTTGTTTTCAGAATAAACCACTATCAGCAAAGACTTCAGTCTTTATACTTCAAAAAGAAGTTTGCAGAGAGAATAGCTGAGATCAAACCTAAAATTGAAGGTACGCCGTATATTTTTCAGGCAGTTTTTCGATTATTTTAAACACTGCGATATTCACATCATCAAACCCATGTGTATTTTAGCTTTGACCAAGGCATCCAAGGAGATGTTACACAGCAGAAACCTGAAGCAGCTGTTGGAGGTGGTGCTGGCGTTTGGAAACTACATGAACAAAGGTCAGAGGGGCAACGCTTATGGCTTCAAGGTGTCTTCACTCAACAAGATCGCCGACACCAAATCCAGTATCGACAAGTAAGTATTTCAGCCGTAGCGTCCGAGCTGAAGCAACGCTGTAAAAGATTTAGAAATCACATTTGAAACGAGTTATTCTACTGTGTTTTTCCTCAACTTATTGTTTACAAAAACTCAGAAACATCACTCTGCTGCATTACCTGATCACCATCCTGGAGAAGAAATATCCCAAAGTCCTGACGTTCCAGAACGACCTGCAGAGCATCTCCGAGGCGGCTAAAGTCAAGTAGGTGACGCCTGGAGAAGTTGTTCCCATCACAGGTTAAACAGGAGGAATCAGCCAATCAAAACAGCTTTTTATCATGTGCATCAATTGAATCTGTCTTACAACTGAATAATGTTTTACCTCTTCATGTTCTAATTCTGAGAAGTGACATTCCTTTTTGGCTGACCCGTTAGTTCAATCACAAGTTGAAAGAGTGTTTTCCTCTCTTTGAAGGGTACAGTTGGGAATCTCTGCCATCTGTTTTTAATTTCCTTGTTGTGTTTTTAAGAAACGATCCCTTCGTTCTGTAGACAATAAGGAACTTTCCTTCTTTCACTGCAGCATGACAGAGCTGGAAAAAGATATTGGAAACCTGCGCAGTGGTTTAAAAAGTGTTGAGAGTGTGAGTCACACAGATTTATCTTTTTCCTCTATGAATTTAAGTTCTCCACCTTCACATTCTTTAAACGTGTTTCTACTTCAAAGGAGTTGGAATACCAGAGGAAACGGCCACAGGAGCTCGGTGACAAGTTTGTGTCCGTGGTGAGCCAGTTCATCACCGTGGCCAGCTTCAGCTTCTCCGATGTGGAGGACTCTCTGACGGAAGCCAAAGAACTGGTAAGTCTGGTGAACCCAGCTGCAGGGTTTCAGCAGAAATCTATCAGAGGAGGCGGGACTCCATCGCTGTCATTCAGAGACAGAGAAGCTGAGCGTTTTCTCCCCACGCAGCTGTTTCTACTCATGAGTTAAAGTGTCCCTGACATCATGTTGAAAAGAAACATTACTACAAAGGCTAACAGCACAAACCATAGCTAAGAGTCTGATGTTTCTTTACATCCTTTGAGTCATTATCAGAGAGATGAAGAGTCCAGGACCAGGAGTTCTCCTTGTCATCACTTCTTGTTTCACTTGGGCCAGAAAATATTATAATATTATTAGGAGTGTCCCAGTACCAGTTTTTTCTCAGAGTACAAATACTTCAGTTTGGGTACTCGCTGATAGAGTACCAATATCGAATACTTACTGAGTTTAGTTTAGTTCAAAAATGGATACAAAACAAACTAGACATGGGTTTTTACGTTGTAAAAACAAGTGTGCATTGCCACGTAGCATGTCAATGCCTGCAGCATGAACTTGCAGAATGAACTTTGACCAAGTTCAAATGTGTTTTCTATACCAGCTTGTGCCTGTCACGTCAGCAGGTGTTCAGAATTAAGGTAATTGTGCGACAATATGAAGTTTGAAGAGATTTTTTGTTAAAGTTGCCTTAGCCGGGTTTTGAACCCTGATCTCCCACATGAAAGTCCATGACATAGACCATTAGACCAATGGAGTTGTGGCAGAAGGTGGTGACAGGGGTTGATTTGTATGTGTGCAGAAAGAGTCCACATTGCCAATACAATTATTGACACTAAACTGCATAATATTACAACAATAGAGCAATATTAAGACAATATTATAGTAAAACATCAAAATACAATCATATTAGTATTGTAAACACTGAACTATTGAGTATAAATATTAAAAAAACTATGGTGCAGTACCAAGTTGAGTACAGCTGGGGGCAGTATTGGACCATTACAAGGCCCCATTGACTCCAATTATATGAATTTGGAATAAAGTTTAAACATTAATATTTCAAAAACTACAAGTGGCACAGGCAGCAAAAGGCATAGCAATCATTTGGCACAGGACCTTTACAGATAGAAATTACAATGGCAACTGTAGGACAAGGTATGCAGGAGAAGCGTGGCAAAGTTGAGATGACTTGGATGAGAAACGAATCACAATAGTGTGCATTGAAATGATAAAAAGTAATTCTGTCGATTTGGGATTAATCAGATATTTTTAATCTGATTAATCCCAAAGTAGCTGTGAATTATTCACGATTAATCTTAAATTTAATATACATTTCTATTGCATATTGATAAAATAAATTACTTGAGTTATTAATTAGTTTTTAATGTTTTTATTTAGAAAACAAAATTGATGCTTAGACATGATTTTTTGAATATAAAACAGGACCTAAAAATGCTTCAAACATATTTGAGTCAGTTAAATTTTGTGCAGAATAATGAGGTTAAATCAAGGATTGAAGGTTTTTCATTCCAAATGAGAACTACATGAGGAATGAAAGAAAGATACTAAGGTCACAGTTGTCAGCAAAACATAAATAAATAAAATAAAATAAGCCATAAGAAGACAAAAAGAAAAAAATAACTGTACATAATGTGTTACACAAAGTTTTTTTTATTTGTTTTATTTATTTAACATTTATTTATCCAGGTAAACTGTTTGAGAACCACTTCTCATTTACAAACATGACCTGGCATGCACTRAGTGCATTGCAATATACAAACTTACATATTCAGCCATAGTAATAATAATATAATTGTTTGTAAAAAAAAAAAAAAGTTAGATTAATCGTGATTAAAATCTTTAATCTATGCCCAGCACTAAAATTAATCAATATGAGTTAACTCGATTAATTTCACAGCCCTAATAAAAAGTGATAACAAAATTAACAAATTTGAAAAGGAATGGAAAGAAGTAAAAAACTTATTTAATCCCACACTTCTCTGAAACTTATTAACAAAAAAATAATAGTTATAGTTAGAATTTAAAGTGCCTGTGACATTATATTTTGTTATAAATATGTGTGCATTTTTTATAATATACCATTAATAACGTATTGTAAACAAAATTTAATGCCGCTGAGATGAACAGTTGTTTAGATATTTGCATGTGAAGTAACAGGAAGTGATGTCAAAGGGGAATGTTTACATGTAAACAGCATTATAATGACTAACAACACAGACTGTAGAGAAGAATCTGATGTTTCTTTAGATTATCTTGAGTCACTGTTGGAGAGGTGAAGAGTCAGAGTTCAGCTCGACCTCAGTCTAAACACTCACGTCTCATTTTATTTGACTTTTACATCAGTATAGATCTATCCAAGTAAAGATATTAACCTCAAGTCTTTTCAGTTTAAATACACCACCTGTAGGTGATTATTAAGTGTAGCATAGATGCTTAAAAAAAGGCAGCAGCAACATCAGAAGAAGTTCACACGATTTAATTTAGTGTTGGTTTTCTGTCTGCAGGGCCAAAAACATTTAACTTGAGCATTTTTAAGCATTGTGCTCTCCTCACATAGCAACTGTTAGATTTTGTTAATCATTCACTGTGTCCCACAGTTCAGTCTTGGCTAGTGATAGTGCTGGGAACAAGAGAGCTCATTGTTTTTGTTTCATCAACAAGTAAAACAAACATTAATATGCAAACAAAACCAGTGACGTGACAGGGATCTGTTTTTTAAAGCATAAAATGTAGAAAATGAAACTGGTAGTTTCTCTCAGACAGAGCTGCTGTGAAAACATCTGGATGTCCCTGTTTTTAACTGACTCTGCAGAACACCCATCAAACACATTGGGTTAATTTGGGCCCTGGCTCCAGACTCCGACCTCTGCTCTAATCAGTAGCCGGTCATATCTGGGTTAAGTCGGGCTTCAAAGCCACAACGGCTGCTGATTTCAAAGAGCTGAATCCTAACGAGCCTCCTGTAAAACAGTCAGAGGACAGAGTCTGCCGAGTCCCGCTGTAAATCTAACCCCGTGTACCCCGCTCTGTTCTTTGGTGGCGCAGTTCCTGAGGGCGGTGAAGCACTTCGGGGAGGACGCCGGCAAGATGCAGCCGGATGAGTTTTTTGGCATCTTCGACCAGTTCCTGCAGGCGTTCTCAGAGGCACAGCAGGAAAACGAGAACATCAGAAAACGCAAGGAAGAGGAGGAGAGAAGGGCCAAACTGGAAGCTCAGGTGTGTGGATTACTGAGCTCAGAACTTTTACTCATCAGTTTTAAAAAAGATGGATTATTTCATTATTTGTAAAAAAAAGTAAACATTATTATTGATGTAGAAATGGACCAAGCTATTAATGAGTTTTGATAAGGGCCCTCCTCCTGTGATTGAGCTGGGTTGGTTTGTTTTTTCTGTTGAAGTGAAACATGTTTCCTACCACTAAATAACAT